TACAGTTGAATATGGTTAAAGTAGTATGTCTTATATTATGTGACTTTTACCACAAAGGACCATTTTTTGGTCCTTCTTTGGAGAACCAAAGAAAGGAGCATTCAAAAGACTGATGTGAGTATTGGCAGAAAGAATGACAGATAGTGACAGAAAGTAAAAGTCTAAANGGAGAATGATAGTGCAGGTGTTGATACACGGCCAGCGTATAAACCTCCCTGTGATGTAAGTCAGAGTGTTTCTTTGGAAGTGCAAGTGCTCAGGGCGTAAAATGTCAGCAGTTCTGAAAAAGCTGGTATTAATTATAAGGAGCTCAAGGGCAAAGAGTAGATGTTACCGACAGGAATGATAGACACAATGGGCTGAATGCTTGAAAAGGTTTTTCTATTTGGGGGAATATTTACCTGTTTCACTCAGGTTCCATAAAGCATCTAAGTCTGTCCTTTCAGACTGTGCTATAAGAATCCTAGCACCTAACACATCTAGAAGGATGTAGACGTTAGCACTGTTCACAGTGCCGTAAGCTCGCATGCAGACCAAATAACCATGCTACTAATGGTTCCAAACCTCCATACTCTTTTGTTCACTTATTTATTTGCAAACATTTGTTGGGAATACTGTGAACAAAGCCCTAGGAAGTTGCTGCCAACAAGATTAAACCCTCTCTGTGGCCTGGAGGAGAGACACAACAGTGCTTCCTATTAAAAAAGACCTGCAATAAAATGTATGCATGCCTTTTTTTTTTTAATCAAAATTGCTTCTGCTCATTGTCTCTTGGTGTAAGAATGATTTTAAGTATCCTTTAGTGAGTACATCCACCTTCTGAAAGACTCTCTCTCAGGTTCCTATACAGGCATTCAGAATAAGGCCGTGAATGAAGGGAAGACTTAAAATATTCTGCATGTAATGCAATACTGAATCAACTATCTAAGGCAAAATCGACACATTTTAAAAAAATTTCTCAATTGCTAGGCAAATTTTAGATGTTTCAGTATTTAATAGCACCCCAGAAAATGCTCCTGCTGTATTAAATTATCCTGCTAACCTCATCCAGAGTCACAGTCTTGTTTGTGGGCCAGTGTATGTTTCCATTTTCCAGGCCTTCAGTTGGGTCCTATCATTCCCATCACACTGAATGAATGAAAAGGCCTCCTTCTTGCTATACTGAAAACCTCAAGACTTGTGAAGAAGCCAAACTCCTGCCCTTGACTTTAAATTAATGGGCCCCTGGAGACAGACTTAATTCTATTGACAGGAAGCCACTGCTTTCTTGTGAAAGGAATTCTCCATTCAGTGATCATGACCTGGCTCTAACTGCAGTGCTAGCCTGTACCACATGCTTCTTCCTCCTTGGCAGAAGGAAGATCTAAGCATGAGCCCCCACCTCTAGCCCCCAACTTATTACATTGGAATTTGGAACTTTCTTTGATAGGTAGTGTTTAGTTATAAAAAACCCTGTCCATTTGAGGTCTCCTGTGATGGTTTTGTCTTGCCAAATAACATATCTGCCAATAATCAAAACATTGCTTCCTCTGCTGCAGATTTAAAATTTTTTTTTTAATTAAAATTTTTTTTAACACCAGAAGCATTTTGTATTGGGGCATAGCTGATTATACCCCAATACAAGCTAGGTTTCAACAGTACCTGAACCGAGAACTTCCAAATGTTCCAACTGGATTTAGAAAAGGCAGAGGAACCAGACAACAAATTGCCGACATCCATTGGATCATAGAAAAAGCAAGAAAATTCCAGAAAGACATCTACTTCTGCTTTATTGACTACACTGACGCCTTTGACTGTGTGAATCACAAAAAACTGTGGACANATAACCCTATATGCAAAACAGAAAAAGAGACACAGATGTACAGAACAGACTTTTGGACTCTGTGGGAGAAGGCGAGGGTGGGATGTTTTGAGAGAACAGCATCGAAAGATGTATATTACCTAGGGTGAAACAGATCACCAGCCTAGGTTGGATGCATGAGACAAGTGCTCAGGCCTGGTGCACTGGGAAGACCCAGAGGGATCGGGTAGAGAGGGAGGTAGGAGGGGGGATCAGGATGGGGAACACATGTAAATCCGTGGCTGATTCATGTCAATGTATGACAAAAACCACTGCAATATTGTAAATTAGCCTCCAACTAGTAAAAATAAATGAAAAAAAAAAAAAAAGAAAACATACTTATGGTTGCCAGTGGGAAGGGATAGTAAGGGACTGTGGAAAGGTTATGCAGCAGATATTTTAAAAATGTGTTTTACACTGTATTAATGTTAGCAAACTCGTATGTGACAAGGATCTGTAGTCATGAACACTGAACCCACAATTCTCTTGTGAAGAAAAATGACCTTTATTTCAGGAGGTTAAATCTCGGGAGCTGTAGCTCATGTACGTTGCAGGTGAGGTGATTTGCCCAGCTTGCTTGTTTTCTCTACCTGTACCCAGTTTGTAGGACCTTGCTGGGGGCAGAAGAGCCTGGTGTCTGGTGTAAATAGATCACAGAGGAAGACTTAATAGATTTTTAAGACACAGTTATCATCTAGGACATACTTCTTTTTTCTGATAGGAAGAGCAAATCTGTTTTAGCCCATGTTATCTAAGTAACAGCCCTTGCTTGACTGTTGCAGTTGTTTAAAAAGGATGCTGGAAGGAAAACACTATTGAAAATGGAATTCATAGGAAGCTCTTACATGTCAGTTTTCCAGAGTGCTACAAACAAATTGTAATGTAAACATAATGGCATGAGTAGTAGTATTTAGAGATTTCTGTTACACTCATTCAGAAGACTTTCTGCACAGGACCTAGCTATTAAATGTCTTGACCTCAGTTTCTAGGGTAGCCTCAGGGATTCTTCAGGATTTGTTGCAAATGCTAAGAGATGCATGATCTTTCACTTTCTTGGAGTCATCCAGCTATCCTTACATCACTGGTGTTGATTCAGCAAGGGAAGTATTTTTTAAAGATCGTTTATCTTAGACAGTTGGAATGAAAGGATGACCTGCTTCTAACGTCTAAAATGTGGATGCATCTGGAAGAAGCATGCATGATTCCTTTGGGAAGGGCAGGAATCAGCTATGTGGCCATGTGTGTTGAGTGCAGCTGTGTAATGGTGTAACTGTTTTTGTACTGGTGACTGGTGTCCAGTTAGAAAAAGAATCAGTCTTCTTACTTAAATGCAGGTAACTCTGTGAAACAAGCAGCAGTTTTTGAAAGTGGACTGATTTGTTTTCTATCAAGTTTCTGTTACAAGTACATTCAAATTTTGTCTTTAGAGGGTGAGTGGAAATATATCAGCAATTTGTTCTCAATGATTCCTGTAGTATATTTGAAAATATACCTGCACAAAACAAGTGTTTTCATGCAAACCCATGTTATCTATGGAAAGCACTTTAAATGGGCATATTCAAACACTTGCTGAATAAATACTAAATGCTGCTGCTCTAAGTCACTTCAGTCGTGTCTGACTCTGTGTGACCCCATAGACAGTAGCCCACCAGACTCCGCCATCCCTGGGATTCTCCAGGAAGAACACTGGAGTGGGTTGCCATGTCCTTCTCCAGTGCATGAAAGTGAAAAGTGAACTTGAAGTCACTCAGTTGTGTCCGACTCTTCGCGACCCCATGTACTGCAGCGCACCAGGCTCCTCTGTCCATGGGGTTTTCCAGGCAAGAGTACTGGAGTGGGGTGCCATTGCCTTCTCCAAATACTAAATGAGGGACCTTCTAAGTTTTGAAGGTCATGTAGAGATAAATGAGAAAATTAGTTAAGCTATTAAAAACAGATGACAACATAGATGGGGAGAAAATGTTTGCAAAAGATATACCGGATAAGGGACTTCCTTGGTGGCTCAGTGGTAAAGTATCCATCTGTCAATGCAGGAGACGTGAGCTTGATTCCTGGGTTGGAAAGATCCCCTGGAAAAGGAAATGACAACATACTCCAGTATTTTTGCCTGGGAAATTCTATGGACAGAGGAGCCTGGCAACTGAGCACATTCAGTGATTATGATGTTGAGCACCTTTTCATGTTCTTGTTGGTCTTTGTATATCTCTTTAGGATGGATGTCTAATCCTTTGCTCATTTTTGAATTGGTTGTTTGATTTTTGTTATTGAGTTTTGCACTCCATCTCCAGAATACACACACACCCACACCCACACACACACTACACACACACACACACACACACACACACACACACACACCAGATTTTAATCCTTCATCATATATATAATTTGCAAATATCTCCTGTTCTGTGGAGATAATCTCCTACTTGGTTGATTTTGTTGATAGTGATAGTGTCCTTTGATGCAAACAAGTTTTAAATTTTCATTTTCAATTTATTTTTTCTTCTGTTGCCTGTGCTTTTGCTGTCATACCTAAGAAATCATTGCCAAATCCAGTATCATAAATCTCTTACCCTGTGTTTTCTTCTAAGCATATTGTAGTTTTAATTCTTGCATTAGGTTTTTGATCCTTTTTGAGTTAGTTTTTGTATATGATTTTAGACGAGGGCCTAATTCCCTTCTTTTACAAGTGGGTATTAAGTTTTCCCAGCACTATGTGTTGATCATTTTCCCCATTGAATAAGTTTGGCATCCTTATTGAAAATCATTTCACCAGGTATGTGAGAGTTTATTTCTGGAATGTCTATTCTGTTGGTCTAGATGTCTGTTTTTAATCTAGTATAACTCAAATTTTGATTTCTGTGGCTTTTCAGTAAGTTTTGAAATCATGAAATTTGAGTCTTCCAGTTCTCTTCTTTTCAAGGTCACTTCAAACTTCATATAAATTTTAGTATAAATTTTTCTGTTCATGAAAAAAATGTTATGGGAATTTTTTTTCACTTGAATATATATTTATTTTAGAATGAGACACTAACAGCATGATGATAAACCGTCACAAACTTGTGCCAAGAAGCACACAATCTTTAAAGTGTGTTGTTTTTCACAAGTAATTTAAGTATGGCATTATTATTATTTTTACTAGAGTCAAAGACGACATTTAGATTCTTCAGCTTTAGGGCATTTAGTAACATCGAAATGATTGTCTAGTCAGGCAGAGGCAAGAAATTCTAATGCAGTTTCTTTCTCTTCTGCTAGTTCCTTTGCAGTAAGATCCATCTTTTCACGTGAGAAATCATTAATAGGGAGACCTTCAACAACTTTCCAGGTCTTATCCTTGATTGTAACAGGGAACGAGTAAAGCAGATCATCAGGAATACCATAGGAGTTGCCATCCAAGATAATGCCCGTGGACACAAACTCTCCCTCTGGGGTTCCAAACCAGATGTCTCTGACGTGGTCACAGATGGCTTTTGTGGCCGACATTGCACTGGACAGTTTTCGTGCCTTGATGACGGCAGCACCGCGCTGCTGCACAGTTGTGATGAATTCTCCCTTGAGCCAGCTGTCATCTTTCAGAGCTTCATAAACACCAACTTCCTTTCCTTGCAGTTTCACTTTGGCATGGTTGACATCTGGATACTGAGTTGAGGAATGGTTTCCTCAGATGATGACATTCTTTACATCATCAGAATTCACTCCAAGTTTAAGAGCAATCTGAGCTTTAGCTCAGTTGTGATCCAAACGAGTCAAGCAACTGAAGTTCTTCTTGGGGATGGATGGTGCCGTCTTGGAGGCAGTCAGGCAGTTGGTATTGGTTGGGTTTCCCACCACAATAACCTTAACTGACTTCTTGGCGTATTTGTCCAAGGCTGCACCCTGGCATTTGAAGATTTTCACACTTGCTTTGAGTAAATCTTTCCTCTCCATGCCATCCCTTCTTGGCATGGAGCCCACAAGAATGGCCACATCCAGGTCTTTGAAGGCAATCTCTTTATCTGTTGTGATGACATCTTTCAGGAGGGGAAGGGCACAGTCTTGCAGCTCCATCAGGACACCATCCAGGACACCCATCACGGGAGTGATATCCAACAACACGAGAATGATAGGCTGGTCTTTACCGAAGACAGATCCATTTCCAATACTGTATAGCAGTGAATATGCAATTTGACCAGCTGCTCCCGTCACAAGGACTCAGATTGGTTCAGACATGATTGGGAAGAGCGTGGACACTTTCTGCACTTGCCGAATGAGCCTCAGGCAGCCTCACCTCTATCACAGAACCGACTCTGTTATGGGGATTTTTATAGGGGTTGCATTGAATCTGTAGAATGCTTTGGGCATTTTAACAATATTAAGTCTTTTAATCCATGAACATGGGACATCTTTCCATTTATTTATGTCTTCTTTAACTTCTTTCAACAGTAGTAGTTTTCCCTATAGAGCTTTTAAAAAGTAGTGTTATTTTGAAGCAATAATCTTAATAATGAATTTTTTTCTTTTTGTTTCAGTCCTTAGCACATTGGGCTTCCCTGAAAGCTCAGTTGGTAAAAATCCTCCTGCTATGTAGGAGACCCCAGGTTGATTCCTGGGTCAGGAAGATCTGCTGGAGAAGGGATAGGCTCCCTACTCCTGTATTCTTCGGCTTCTCTTGTGGCTCAGCTGGTAAAGAACCTGCCTGCAATGTGGGAGACCTGGGTTCGATCCCTGGGTTGGGAAGATCCCCTGGAGAAGGGAAAGATCATCCATTCCAGTATCATGACCTGGAGAATTCCATGGATGGGTGGCAAAGAGTCGGACACGACTAAGTGACTTTCACTTTCACTTTAGCACATCACCAAGCATAACACAATGTTTCATTGTGCATTGATCCATCTATTATGCTGGCTTATTTTATTTACAGACAGAGAACTCTTTGGGCTTCCCAGGTGGCACTAGTGGTAAAGAACCCTCCTGCCAATTCAGGAGACAGAGGACATACACACTGGTTAGATCCCTGGGTCAGGAGGATCCCCTAGAGAAGGGAATGGCACTCTACTCCAGTATTCTTGCCTGGAGAATCCTATGGGCAGAGCAACCTGGCAGGCTACATACAGTCCATGGCGTCACAAAGAGAAGGACATGACTGACACGAGTGAGCACACACAGACATACATACACATAGAGAAATGCTTGTCGGTTTTACCTGTGGCCTAAACATTCATTAGAACAGTTAAATGACATTAGTGCAGTACAGCTAGAAAATAATGTCAGTCGACCAGTCCATTACTAAAATAATTTAGTTTTTGAATTACTTCTCACTAAGCTCAGCATTGCCTTCTACAGCATTCACAAGTTCAATGAAAAGCAAAATAGTTTAATATCCTTTGCCTTATTTATGGGTCTCATTTTCTTGCTTAATGAACCTGTTATTTCAGACATTGTTTTCCTTTACCTTTTAATCAGCTTAAATGTATCAAAATACCCATAATAAGACAAGTCCTATTACAAGTAAAGCGTGAGAATCTATGGGTAGCAATATTTCTTTCTTTCCCTTTTCAATGTGTAAAGAGATGATGTGAATATTATGTCACAGAGCTTTCCTGTCTGCTCAGCCTTCTGGGGAAAAAATAACCACATGCCATTAAACCAGTCCTCATTGTGCCAGGTATCTTATGCAACATCCCAGAGATCCATTTGCTCACTCCCCTAGCCCCCTCTTGTCCCCCTCTCTCCCCACCTTCCAAGCCCTCAGCATAGCCCTGTTGAAGTACTGGGGCGGTTTGTGCCCCTTCATACCTGCTCTCCGCTTGACTGCCCCCAGCTCCAGCTAACTCCTACACATCCAAGACCCAGCTTATGTGTCGCCTCTGCTTGGACAGATGCCCTGGGATCTCTGACTCCCATCTCTGCCAGGCCTCACCCCACTATATTATAATTTGCGAATCACATGATAGTCTCTCCTGCGGGTGGGTGAATGAACTCCTCGAAGGCAGGAACCATCCCTCACGCGCCTTGTAGCATCAGCATGGGATCTGACATGAAATAGACAACAAACGCATGTGCAATGCCTACGTGGCTAGGAGGAGCACTGCATTCAAACATCCCACTTCTTTTTCTGGAAAAAAAAAAATCCAAAGAAGAAAGCACAGAGCGTAGGAAGCCTTTGTTCTGCTTTCAGCGTTGGGAAAGCTTGAATAATTCTTTCTTATCAGCTCTGGGAATGAGTTTGATTTTTATCCTGGATGAGCTGTAAAGTGTGTTAATGAGCATTAGAAGCAAATATCTCCCAACCAGAGTTTTAACAAGGAGTTTATAGCTCTAGGACCTGTAGGTTATTGTGTATCTTTGTCTTTGTTTGTGAAAGACCAATTAAACAGTGCTTTGGAAGAGTTCTTTTAGAATGGTTTTTTTTTTTAAATCCTTTTTTTTTTTTTTTTTCGTTTTTAACTCTGTCTTCAGATACAATTCAGCCATGTCTCTTCTCAGAGGAGATAGCTTTGAAGTCAGGGAATTCCCCAGCTAAATGACCTGGGCAGAAACATGCTCAGGCTGATCATGATATGAATTTGAAGGGAACAATTAAGGACTTGTTTCCATTTTGATTCTAATAGGAAGCCTTTCTACTTGTGTGCCTTTCAACCTGTCTACATTCCTTCTGAAACTTCAATGGAACCTCATGTCAGAGCTGTTAAAAGGACTTTGGAAAAGGAATGTGTGAATTCATAAATGCTTCAGAAGTAAGAAAGTGTTTCCCAGTCCATTACATTTTTAACCCCTTGTTTCTGCCTAACAGACTCTGTGAAAGGTCAGTAAGAATGTTTTAACAGTATATGCTTTAGACTTCCAGGAGGACAGAGTGTTTCTCTTCTACATATCCATTGTTATTAAGTGACGGGCGTGGTGTTTTCTGAGTTGATATTTTGAGTAAAAAAAAAAAAAACCCTTCATTGGAATTGTGCTTGCTAAGTCGCCTAAGTTGTGTCTGTTTCTGAACCACTAGGCTTTCCTAGTGGCTCAGAAATCATTAAATGTAAGCTAAATTGGAACCAAAATTTCAAAACCTTAACTTAAAGAGAATATACCTGAATGTAATTTGGGATGACTTTCTCAACTAGACTGATGAATAATATAATACCATCTGCATAGTGGCTTGTGATTTTCAAGGAAAATTTCCATACAGCTTTCTCATTTTTCATCATAATGATTCCGAGACATAGGTAGTAAGATTCTTTAATTCTGTGTAAGAGAGACTGAAGGCTGAGAAGGTTCCATGGCTTAAAGACCTGTCTAAAGCTATAAATGAACTGTGCTGTGAACTGAGGTCTACAACCACAACCCTCTGTTTCATCTACTTGACAGGACTCGATGTTTCTGTTCGGATTTTCATTTATTCATTTCTTTATGAAAAGTTTTTCTAGTGCAATTTACAAGACGATTTTCGAAGGTGCACAAACTAATACTCCTGAAAATATTTTCAGGTCTCCCATTACACTAGTATAGCAATATGTCATTTAACTATCTTTTCCCCTGAGAAATTAATTTTTTTTATTGTGTTAAAAAAGCTAAAGTTACCTGTCCCTGAGGATATTTCCTTCAAGTACTCATTGGCATTTTTGAATCTGTGGTTCATTTCACCTTTTATGACCCTAGGTATTAAACGATTCTTGGCTATACATCAGAAGATTATCATGTAGTTATTATTTATTTTTATAGCTCAGGTGAGTCTGGTACTAACTCATTGCAGTGCATGTCCCATTGGCCAAATGAATACAATCTGGAAATATGACATGAATTTTTAATGATAATAAGGCAGTAATTCTGTATTCTTCCTAGGTGTAGCAGAGGCTACGTAAGGGAGGTTTAATGTCATTTCAGAAATACTGTGGATGCCCTTACTGAAATCCTTACTGAAATAGTCACATTTATCTGATCTTTTCCTGAAGTTAGGTATAAACAGTCAAACTTTGGAAGAGGATTTACTCAGCATTAACTTGATATATCATTTTTCCTAGCTATACCTATTATCATTCAGTTAAAATAAGCAGCATAAATTTTCTCCTATTTTTAGACTGATAGGCATTCTGAAGTCTTGATAGAAATACAAATGTACATCATTAAATGCTTTACCTATGACTTTAGGCTCAAGTCTCATTATTTGAAAGTATTTAGAATGAGTAACTAAAAGCCATAGAAAATTTTCAAATCTCATTTTAGAGAATAATTACAGTTATCCGTCACCAAACTGCTGGCAAGTAATGGCTTTGCCTCATTGGATTTTTATCCCTTTTTATGGTGCTGGCCCTTCCTTAGGTGTGAGGTCTATAAGCCATTCAGTGGATTTGAAAGGCTGGGAGAACTGGATGCCTGGAATCTCCCAGCCCTGTGATTTCAAGAACCAGTATAATAAAGCATTGGTACAATATGGAGAACTAGCCTAAATATTTGGAATTTGTGCATGCCAGGCTGTGCGTGCATGCATCTGCGTGCTCAGTTGTGTCCAGCTTTGTGCAACCCTCTGTCCATGGGATTCTCCAGGCAAGAATACTGGAGTGGGTTTGCTGTTTCCTACTCCAGGGGCTCTTCCTGACCCAGGGATCAAAACTTCAGCTCCTGCAGCTCCTGCATTGGCAGGCAGATTCTTTACCACTGAGCAATCTGGTAAGGCCAAAACAACACCCATTTGATTATATCTCAGGATTTTGTGGGCCAGAACTTGGGCAGAGTTTGGCTGGGCAGTTCTCTGTGTGGCCTCCATGGTGTTCTTCAATGAGTGGCTCTGCTCGAGGGTCAAAGATGGCTTCATTCAAGTGAGAAGGCCATGGGTTCAGGACCTTTTCACATATTTTCTTGAACAGGGTAGTTGGAGGTCTTATGTGGTAGTTTGGGGTTACAAAAGTAGGTAACCCAAGAGTCAGGAACAAGAAACTTTCAGTGTCATAAGAGCCAAGCTCCCAAATTGGCACAGTATAGCTTCTACCATATTCTATTGCTCTGTGTAGTTACAGAGCATCCCCAGTTTTAAGAGAAGATGGGGGCACTTTCTATGGAAGGACTGTTGTCCAACTTCTGGCCACAGATTATTTGTGAAACAAAGAAGCCTTTTTATCTAGTTGAAAGAGTTTATTAAACACAACATATGATTCATAGAGGCCTTCTTTCCTTGCAGAGAGGGGCTAAGATGGATAACCCTTAAGGTTATTAGAAGCCCTATTAGGCTTGCCGTCAAATTTTTTGAATTAAGAACAAAGAAACACCCATGAACTTATTTACCCCATGGCAAGTTTTTTGG